AAAAAAAAAAAAAAAAAAAAACGATACGCATGGAAGTGGAATAAAAATTCATGGACGAATAATCACAGCGAAAAAATAAAACAAAATAAATAAATAAATGGACTATCAAGAACAATAACGATAATCTTGTTCAACAACAAAAAAATAAATATGAGAGAGAATATATATATATTCTTGGGGGTGCTTTACCTCAATGCTCAGAGTTATACAAGGAATAATCTACCTTTCCTTTTCGGAAATTCTTTCCCCCCTTTTTTTTATTATCATTGTTGAAATACTCTTGATATATAAATATATATATAAATATCCTTTAATTATTTTTCTTTTTCTCCACACCCCATCCACCTCTAATTCTTTTCACTATACGATATAATACGAGAAATATAGTTCAGCAGTCCCTTATGACACTAAGCCAACTTTAGTAGACACTACCAGCTTGTGTCCAGCACGGTCTACAACGAAAGGTACAACGGCACCACCGACTAAATTAGAGACTTCATGCTGAAATTGCCGAAGACTCGTTACAGGCTTACCGTTTATCCTCGTGATGAAATCATGCGGCTTTATACCAGCATGTGCAGCTGGTCCTGTCACACTGATAACCAAAACTCCATCTTCATACTTTGAAGAGACTCCATTAACAACAACGCTGTCAGTAGCTTCAATACCAATGAAAGGTTTACTTCCACTATGACCTGCCCCAACAATGTTGTGGTTTTGCGCAGAGACAGGAGTTGCTGTCATGTTGATGGAACGATCTGTTGATTGTTCCTTTAACCTGCGCTTTACATCAGAGTCATTTGCATTCACTGTCTTATTCTCTGCGTGTACATCATCTAATAATTGTTGCAGCTTTTCTCGCCACTTCTGGAGGGATAATACAAATAAGGGTATGATAGTGCGCAGAGTAGTTGGGTGACTTGTTGGTAAGTAAATACTTGTTGACAAAAGAATAAAGTCATTTTTAAGTGAAGCCCCAACACCACCACCACACATTTCTCGTCCCAATAAAGCTCCTTCCATTAGAAATTCATATACAGAAAGTCTCACATTTGGATCGCGTGGAATAGCTGTTAAAAGAGTAGAGTACAAGAAGAGTCGTTCCGTCGTTGTATCAAAAGTTACCAACAAAGTGTATTGACCATCAACGCTTAAAACACATGTGTTATTGTCATCAAATTCTAATGGTTTCTCTAATCCAAGATCTTGACTCATATAAAGCATGTTCTGAATAGCATTTTCACGTGCATCATACAATCCAACATCTTGGGGTAAAACACTGTTATCATTTCCTGTCACCTTCATTGCATTATCTGTAACAAATGATTCTCTTTTCCCAGAGTTTTCAACAGATCCACATAATGGGGATTTGTATTCACTACCCAAAAATCCATTTGGGTATTGATCACTCCTATTATTATGTGGACGTTCTTTTTCCTTACCCTGATATTGTTGTTGTTGTTGTTGTTGTTGTAGGGTAGATGACTGCATACTTCCACTGACATTAAGTCCAAGTGGAAGAATATGACCATTGATGTTATGATTCTGGTTTTCAAATTGGGCCGCTTGTATAGATGGTGGTTGACTGTTATTCCATTCCATCATAGATGCAGCCTGCTGTAGTTCCGGTGGTGGTGGCATACCCATGCGGTCATAATAAAGGAGACGATTCTTCTGAGAGACAAGTCGCTGTAACGCCAATTCCTTTCGATCACGCTCCGCACTTAATAATTGCTGCTCAATCTCTATTTCTCTTGCGCGGATATTAACTTCACGTTCTTTGGCACGCTGTTCGTATGCCTCGCGTTCCTTTTCAAGACGTTTCTTCTCCGCTTCATACTCTGCACGTTGTTGTTCTAACAATGCTCGTCGTCGCTCATTATCGAGTTTCTGCAGTGCGACTTCCCGTGCAGCCTCTTCTTCTACTCGGAGTTGTTCGCGACGTGCAGCCAAATCAGACGCCCGCTGTGCTGCTCGTCGTGCCTCAAGTTGTTGCAGTTCAGCTAAGCGTTGTTTTTCTTTTTCTGCCAACTCCTCCTTCTCCCGCACTCTATTCAACTCCCGTTCTGTCATTTCCTTCTCCCGCTCAAGTTCTCTCTTCTTTCGCTCCGCTGAATGTAACTGATCCTGCAGATCATTTATTTTTCGCTGTAGCGTATCATCACAGGCGACGGTATCTCTGCTTAGTCCAACCTCCTGCTGTTGGATTGTTTGATACTCCAGGGCCCGCCGCCGGGGTGAGTTAAAGGAGGCGGTGTGATTTGTTGATGGATCCACATTATGGCGGTGTTCAACTGTGAGTGTAGAGCCGTTGGTGATCCCATACGCAGCGCATGCCTCATCATCATGATTAAGTGGTGTACTGTTGAATTTGATGATTTGATCTGCTGCGGGAATTGGACAGGAGGAGGCTGCTGCAAGACACTGTTTTAAGCGTCCAATCGTCAGTCGACCAACCTCACCCTTTATGTTAAGACGATACCGTTTTCCATCATCTGGGTTAATAACTGTGAGGGTATTGTTACCACTCATTTCCAGCGACAATGGTGTGTGTTTCTGTGTAAGCGTGTTTATTAGTGAAATATTCTCTTCACAACGGCTGATGCTATCCCCATACAGCCCCTTTTGTGTCTAATTTACTATAAAATTCACTACTATACTGATAACTGAAGTAGATATTTAAAGAGACACGAAGAAAAGAAAGAGAAAGAAAGAGAAAGAGAAAGGTAATATTAAATTAAGTCAACAAGTCACACCCACATGAGAAGAATTATTTCTATACATTTTCCCCCACCCCACATTAATTTTTTTCTCTTTTACTTTTGTTCAACTAAATGTCATTGATATCTCATTCTCGTAACCACACTCAACGCCTTATGAGAAATGCATCTAGTTGTTGTTGTATATCATTTGTGAAACAACATCCAGTGTGTTGACTACGGTAACTTGTAGAATGGAGCTCACCTAATGGTGGCGGTAGTGGTAGTGGTAATGACGATGATAGCGAAGAGTTCTCTAACATACGCGCCAACCGCCGTCCTTCACGTGTGAGACCAATAGCTGACCACAAGGGGACCGTATTAACAATAGGTACACGAAAGTACTGTGGAAAACACGATATAAGAAGAGGAATCATTGCAGGATCACCCATATTATCACGAATGTACGCACGACTCGCCGGACGCAATGTCTGGCGAAGTGAAGAAAAGCAAAGGCAGTCGTCATTGCTATGGTTACTACTCTTATAATTATCACCCTTGTTGTTATCATTATCATTTTCATCATCATCATCATCATCAATCTCAAGACCAATCTCCTCAGCATGACGTTGCTGCTCACGATGGAGACAAGAGAGAATTTCAAGTACTAACATTGCAGGCAAAAGTTGCCGATACGCAAGTGGAGGTTCTTCAGGTGTTGCACGAGGTCGAATCAATGGTAACCGCATATTTGCATTATTAGCATAAAAACCATCTACGTATTTGTTAAACACCACAAATCCTGTTTCTTTTCCTTCATGGTTTCTGTTATAGTTAGCTGCTTCACCATTAACAATATCATTATCATTATTATTATTATTACCTCTACCATAAGGGAAGAACAAACATCCAATACTTTGAAGAATTTCTTGCTTAAATAGCTGTGGTACAATACCTTGTATCTCATTAAGCAACGTACTTTGCAACTGTTCATAGTGACGTGTGGAAAAGCACCGTAAAATATGTTGAACAAAAACAGCATCAGCACATGCTCCAGCTGGGTAAATGACACTTGTAGTAAGAGGGGTACTTTCTTGTGTAGATAATGTTACTGCTGCAGTTGCCGCTCCCATTACAGCTGCAGGTCCTGTTAATTCATCATAAACCGCAGTATGTATAAGAGAGAAGGTGCGATTCCATATATCTTCTTCTTGTTCTTTTTCCTCGTCACTGTTTTTGCATTCAGTAATCTCAGCATCTGAGGATAAAACCCCATCTTTGTATTTCCACCAATCGTCTGAACGACGTGTTAGCGGTATTCCATCTTGCTCGACCTGTAAATCCACCAGTAAAAGGTGTTCACATTCCCTTTTATTCTTATTCTGGTCTAACGTCATCGCTGTATTTCGTGGGAGAGCCCGTCGTCGAAGAAAGAGAAGACCCACTTCCGAAGAAAGGTTGTTACTCACATTCACATTCATACGGTGTTGGTGTTGTTGTTGTTTTTGTGGTCTTAATCGTTCGTCCACTGTTGGAAGTGGACGTCCCCAGCGCCATTCCACACCCAAAGCACCGAGTGCAGAAAGCAATAAACCCTCACGGCATCGAACAACATCGTTGGGATCTAAAACTAAAAGGGGAGCCAAATGCGGGTGTGTCTCAACTGCTCGATCACGCACTGCAGCGAAATCTACGAAACCAAGATAATCATCACCATTCTCATTTTTGCTTTCTTGAGAAATATGATATTCTGCCTTTCCCTCTTCTTCTTTTTCTTCATTGGTTATTGTTCTTTTTGTTCTTGGTACTGATTCTGCTACCGGAATAAAGTCTAATAGTGGTAATAATTTCTGTGAAAGTCGATAACGCTCCATCGCAGATGGTGCGATAAGTCTTTTTCCCATGTGCAACACGGTATCTTTTTCATCAGCAATCAAATGGCTAGTCGTATGACTGAATGGAGGAGTTAATGATGCTGTTGCTGCGCTTGTGATATTTCCAGAATCCATATTTCCTTCTTTACTGGATGAAATCATATCACTTTTCTTCTTGTTTTGTTGTTGTTGTTGTTGTTCTTGCTCCGAGAGTGTTGTAGTTAAAGAAGGATTTGACACTATTTCCTTCTTCTTCTCTTCCTCTTCCCCTCCAAATGCAGTCCCCTTTAATCGAACCATTGCGCCTTTTTTTATTAGTACAAACACATCTTGCTCATACACCAAGAGTAAACGCTTGACATCACCAGCGAGATTGTGGCGTATAAATGCAGATGCGGATGGACTAAGCGACATGCGTCTAATAATAGCCAGCGGCACGCCTTTTTTTGTGTCACTTGTTGAAGATTCAAGTGAAGAAAGAAAAACAGCGATATCAAATGCCAATTCCCTAACCCCTGGTTTAACACGAAGAACAAGATTATCTTGCTTATTACACAATTCCTTTTCCCCATGTTGTGGTATGCGTGGAGGAGGAGCTAAAGTGAAAACGCCACAACTCTGTATGCGACTCGCGAGACGCTCTCTGTTTTTTTCTGCAGACGGATCATCACCCACTAAATGTATGGTGGGAGTCCCAGTATTAGTACCACTATTGATAGAAAACAACCGTAGAAGAAATGATTGAAAGTGTTCCTCAATGAATTTTAGTGGTACAGGAGGATAGAATGGTACTTTGACCCCAGATTTATCCCCCTCTGCTCCTGCTCCTGCTCTCGTTGTTGTTATTTCTGTTTGGCTAAGCAAATGTTTCTGATAAGCAATGAATACCTCTGATAATGCGGTAATTATCCCCTCCACATCGAAGAGTGGTTGATTTGCTGCTGCCAGCGGTGAAGGCGGGAGTGTTGATTTCATTGACGAAGATGAAACTGAAGGCCGCTGCGGTGGTGGCATCATGCGCTTCACAGATGACACAACCGGCCGCTTCACTCCCTTTGATGCAACTGTCGCATTATCTCTGCCAATAAACTGTGTGGAGTTGTGCCGCATGTGTGTAGCACCAACCGATAACAGGGCTCTTCCATAACGCAGAAACACTGTACCAGTACTACTACTAGTTCTAGTAGTTCTAGTAGTAGTAATACTGCAGTACCGACAACAGTCACCTCGCACCATTGGCTGCAAAGTGAGTGGGAATCTTTTCATAATTCTTCCCTTACTCTGCCACCCACACTGTGAGATCAGAGTAGGTGTGGGGTTGCGAACTCAGATACAGGAGAGATCCGCTACAACAAGAGGAAAAAACAAACAACAACAAAAACGTATGCAAAGTGAGACAAATAAAAAGGCACGGAGATACATAAACAGACGGACGAAGAAGAACTGCAATATCGCAAAGGGCATCTCAGACGAATAAGAGAAAAGAAAGCGAAATGTCATCATCAATAGTAATGAATAATAGACAATACACAATGAGAAAAACAAACAACCGGTTTGGTGCACCTCACTGTACTGCACTTCACTCCACTACAACACAAGAGAAGAACAACAACAAGAAAAAAAAAAATAAGAGAAGCAGGAAACTCTTTTTAGCCGAGAATTTTTGCCGTCACACTACATAAAAACAAGTCAGCAGACAAGGACTTCACACAACACTGGTGGGTACGGCTGCTCCTGTGCCTCCACTACAACTACTCCTGTTCCCGGTGTCTTTAATGATATCGGTGGTGGTTGCGTTGTAACTGGCCGCAATGGCCACAGCAAGTTCGCCGGCGCTCGGGCATCGCAGAGTTCGAGGCCTTGCTGCAACGAGAACCATCCAGACTTCCACGGCACCAACAACACACTGAAAGAAATTGACCCTTGTGGTTCAACAAGACCTAAAGGAGAAAACAGAGGTCCGGCGTATACAAACGATGGTGCCAACTGTTCTGGTCGCACCCGCAAGGCTAAATCTACACGTATTGAAGGATCATAATTGATAGCAATACACTCAAATGTCATCGGTTTTCCAGCCTTTGGTGTTTCCGGCTGCATACCTATTACAAACATTTCTAGTGTTGGTTGTTTTGCAAGACGTCCAAGCCGCAAAAGACTACTACATTCTGTTCCACTATCACCATTAGGGCGACGCCATTTCCACTCCACGTGTCCAAGATCCGTTAAATTTGGTGGTGTCACAGACGGAGATGCACCGGTAGATCGATGGCATAGGGCAAGAGAACGAATAGTATCCGGTTTCACAAGGAGTTCAAAGTAATAGTTTCGCCTGTCTTTTGGACGCATATGCAGGTCTTCTATAGTATCTGCTCCACCACCTGCATAACGCATGCGAAACGCATTCGGATCTTCTTTTCTCTCTACGGCAGATTCAGGCAACCACTTGGGTGAAGAAGAGCGATCACTTCTTGCAGATGTACGATGTGGTGGTGGTAAGACTTCAAAAGCCTCTCCACTATGTAATTCTACGCTTGTAATAGCTAATGGTACCGATGATGTATTTTGTAAACAAAGAGAAAGAATATATTTTCTTGTAGGCAAATTGATATTTGACATTACTTCTTTAATAGTAGTTTCTGTGGCACGTAATGGATTAAGTGTATCACGCTGATGATGAGTCAAAATAGGAACAATTTGAAGAGATCTATGAGCCTCTGTGATAGCTCTTTCCGCCTGAAATCCTGATGACCACGTCAAACGTTTTGTTTCATTTACAATATCAAGATATGTTACTACTACACCCAGAGTATGTTGTCCTGGTTCTTGCAGCAAAAACTCCACCTTAAATGATGCATTCCCTTTACCCTCCAAACGAGGGCATTCGTAATTAACTAGTGGTGTACGCTGCTGTGTCGGATGAAAACACTCAATGCGAAAAGTCAAAGAAGAAAGAGGGTAGGTTGCAGCGTTGTGAAAACTTAAAAAAGCTCTAAAAACTTGACCTACAAAATGTTTTCCAATGGTCGAAGGCAATGAAAGAACAGATCCAACACCACATGTAGTTAATGCAACTGCTTCACTACGTCGTCTCTCAGAAGGTGGAGCGGATGCATCTGCAAGAGCTTTAGAAGGGTAGTATAGAGGATTAGCGAGGACATCAAATAAAATATCACCTTCTTCTACCAGTTCTGGGGCCGACTCCTCAAATAATTCTGGCCTTCTTAATACTGTTGCTCGTACTGAAAGTGGACTTGCGAGCACAGCAGGGACGTAACTGGTCGCAGAGTACACTGGAGCTGGAGCCCCACTACCCGTTTTATGCTCCCCACTACTTACAGCCGGCATGTAACTTGACTATGAGATTCTGTTTTTTTAGATGGTTGGGGTGGGTAGGTGAGTGGGTAAAAGGAGAAATGAGGTAAAAATAATAAAATAAACGAGTCTATGTTACTCGTATCTACTGGTTTTATGTGTAAAAGCATGGAAGAAGAGAGATTCAAGAGAAAAAAAAAATAAAACATATTAAAACTGTTTTATTCTTTTTTTTTGCAAATTTACTCAACTCATTCTTTAAATCAACTAATTTCGATACCAGAGACTTCTTTTTCTTCCGAGAAGGGGGAAAAAAAAGAAGAAAAACACAAATGACATTACAGATAAACGCTAAAACCCATTCGCCCTACTTTAATGCGTAAACTTTTTGCTAGATAATCTTCAGCATTTTTGAGTGTTTAAATTTTACACTCCCTGAGATTGTCTCCTCTTACTCCTTCACCCAAAAAAGATCAGATGGATGACAACTAGGCTACCAATCATCATCATCATCAGGGACCTGCAACGGGGGTAACTTACCAGGAACTGGAGGAGGAGGGGGTGGTTGTGGTGGTGGAGGCGCTCCCGTCATCGTCTTTGGAACGGACTGTGACGGTGTTTCTTTAGCAGTCTTTGTTACCCTTAAAGGAGAAGATGGAGGAGTGTCATCATCGTCATCTGAGTGCATCCCAAGAATACCTTTACGACGATTCGCAAGAAGAGACGACAAAGCGTCCAAGTTACTCTTTGTAGCCGCCTTTTGCACCGGTCGATTCTCGTTTTTGGGCACTGTTTTCACAGTAGCCGATTTCATTGCTGGCGGTGGAGGAGGAGGAGGTGGAGGTGGAGGTGGGGCGGGAGGAGGATTCCCGAGCATCGGGGCGCTCTTTGCCAGTTGTGCTGTCGGTGGCGGTGGTGGGGCGTTTCTTGTTGTTGTTGTTGGTGGTGGTGGTATCATTCTTTGTGCCATCGACGGTGGTGCTGGAGGTGGAGGAGGAGGAGGAGGAGGTGGTGCGCCTAAGTTCTTCCGTGGTGGTGGTGGAGGTGGTGCTGATGGGCCGTTCGGGTTTTTAAAACCAGGAGGAGGAGGAGGAGGAGGTGGTGGTGCTTTACCTCCGGGTATTAACCCTGGCGGTGGTGGTGGGACTGTAAGAACACCAACAGATGAGATGGCACCGGGGGGTTGTGGCTTTGCAGATGGAACTGCTGGGCTAGAGGTTATGGTTAGTCTCTGTTGTTGTTGTTGTCGTTGATGATGAGTTCCAGCACGTGATGGAGCCCCGTTATCTGTAGCCACATCACTTCCTTCACCTAGTCGTCGCTGCCAACTGGGAGCGATGTTATCAGCATCCTCTAGTGTGTATGCGTGCCAAGCAACTTCGGCAATACCTTCTAGTGGTAGATCCTCGGGAAGGTCCTCCATAAGGTTTGCCACCTCCTCCATAAGTGGAACAAAGGCGTACTCATCCGATGAAAATCGTGTCATGTAATCACGATGTACATCTGCAGCTTCACCAAGTCGTCGTTTAGTAGCCACAATACGTTCTTGTCGTTGCTGTGTCAATATATCAAGTTCATGATACTCCTTGTAGAGGTTTTCACGAGTGTTGAAAAGTAATAGTGAACTTACACTAGTAAGATTTTGTGGGAGCCTCCCCAGTCCCCTATCCACACCGCTATGATATCGCCATGTCGCCGTCAACGGCATTACACCAACTAACTCTGCACGCTGCAGTGGATGTTGTGGTTTTATCGGTCGCTGCTCCTCCGCTGTTCCTTCAAGACGTCGTATGGGTCTTTGATAGAAATTTACCCGCTCTAAATCACCACGTCGTTGCTGGTGTTCTTTTTCATTACTACCGCAACTAGATTCGTCTTCATCTCTTTGCGAAACTTCTGAATCGCTGTCCGATGTTCCAGGAGGAAGTAACGCGGGTACAACATGTTGAGAGTGTCGAATGAATTTTCCTCGTAATTCCCACGGAGCTTGCACGAGTGGTATAGTGCGATGCCGACGGGTTGGAAAACGAGCTTTACTCTTCACTACCATCGCTTCACGACGACCCTGCAGTTGCTCAACACGTGTGGCACATGTCTCAATACGTGACTGAAGTTCTTCTAGCGTTTCACATGACTTCTGCACCGCAGATTCAATATTACCAAAAACACGTTCACTCGTTCGGTTAAGTTCTTCAAGGGCATCAATGACAGAGAGCATCGTTGTACATCCACCATTTGTCAGCGGTACAGGCACTGCATACCCGTTTATTGTTGTTGTTGTGGCATCACTGTACATCGATACTAGTTGTCTTGGGCCAGAAACCACAGAACCAAATTGTAAACTCTGAGTAAAGAAACAAAAAAAAAAAAAAATCGTTATTTTATCCCTGGTCTACTGTGAGACACAGAAATAAACCACTCTCTCACTCTTTTCCTTTTGAAACAAACACACCAGACTCACTTAGAGGAATCTGTGGAGAGAGGTGATACAATCTGATAAAAACACACTCACAGGAAAAAACAAAAAAAACAATGGAAGAAAAAAATAAAATAAAATAATGTACAAGATCATAAGAAAAAGTAAAAAATTGGACAAGTTCCCACAACAAATAAAACGTAGGAACAAACAGTAAAAAAACAGATTTTCAAAAAAAACACAAAAGGAAAAGAAAAACATCTCTGGCTGTTGTGGTTCATTGCATTCGTTTACGCTCAAGCCATCAGGTTCTGCTGAGTGATCTTACCCTTTGGTGTGATCAGCTTGACGTGGATACCGCGTTGCTCGAGCTTGCCAGCATCGCGCAGTGCCTCATACTCGGAGCGGAGGATGTCTGTGAAGCCCCAGTACTTTGATGTCACAATAATCTGGCGACCAGGGAACTTCATCTTGGCGCGGCGGAGGGACTCCAGAGCCTGTGGGATGAAGGTCTCCTTCGTGCGCATGGAGAGCAGAATCTGACCAATGCGGACACGAGCGCAGGTGCCGTTGGGCTTACCATAAGACTGGCGCATACCCGTCTGCAGACGATCCGCACCAGCGCAGGAAAGCATCTTGTTAATACGAACAACGTGGAACGGGTGAGCACGGATACGCATGTGGAAGGCCTCCTTGTTGGCACGCTTCACCATGTACTTGTTGGCCTGAATACGGGCGGCCTCAAGAGCCTCTGACGAGATCTGCTCAAGTTCGCGGGAAACAACGTGGATGCATACAGGGAACTCGTCCACTGGGGCACGGCGCTTACCAATGTCGAAGTTACGGATCTTTGGGTCAGGTACACCTCGGCAGAAACGCGACTTTGGGTACGGCTTGTTCTTACAGAAGCGGTAGCAACGCGAGGGACGGCGAGCCATGACGGAATAGGTCTCACGACAAACCACTTTCCAGAAAGAAAAAAGAAAAAGAGAAAAAAAAATAATAATAATAGTAATGAAGCAACAGTAGAAAATCACTGCCACCCCTTCACAAGAAGCACAACTATGCCTTCAAGTGCGAGTACAGCTTCATTAGGTAGTAATCAATCGTTGTAGTTTTTTTTTTTTTTATATATATAAAAAGGTACGTTCAAATGAAATTATAAAAAAAACGATCACCAATGTGACTTCGCCTTGCAGCTTTATTGATTATAGTGTTCTCACATGGTAAGCTCCAGAATGGCGTTGACGATGTCGCCGTTGTTGTTCTTGAGAGCGCGAATGGCACCGGCGCGGTCTGTGTTAGCCTGGGTCATCACAACATTGATCTCCTTCTCGTCCAGGTTGCCGATGTCCTCGTCTTGATCAGCCTTAGCTTCACCAGAGTCGGCAGTCTTTTCAGGTGCAGAAGCGGGGGTGTTTGTGGCACCGACCAGCTCCTCAACGTTCGCGTCTGAGACAACACCAGAGACGGCGCGGGCGGCGGCCTCCTGAGCCTCTTTTGTGGATTCGCCGAGCTGTGCCTCACCAAAGACAAGGAAGGTGTTTGTGCCAGGGAAGCGGTAGAGCTCTGGCTGGTTTACCACAAAGGACATAGACCCGTGCTTGGAAATTTGCACCTTGAACACGTTGGGCTCAGGCTTCAGTCCCATCTTCGCCATGGCCTTCGCATAGCGCTTTGACTGCTTGGCGACCTGCGGCACTTCGGCGGCCTCGAGGGTTGGGACCTCTTCGTCTTCCACTGGGGGGTTCTGGACCTGAGGGGCGGACATTGTGGGCGTGTAACGGTGGGTTTAGTTTGCTGGCAAAGCACTGCGTAGAGAAAAAAAGAAAGAAAGAAAGAAAGAAAGAAAGAAGAGAAAGAGAGAGGTGCAGAAGTAGAGAAGTACAGAAAGGTATCTAGTTACAGTATCCTTGCGAACAAGGAAGAAAACAAAAAAAAAAGAAAAAGAAAAACAACAAGAACAACAAAAGAAAGAGAGGACGCAAAGAAACAAAGAAAGAAAAAGAAGAACAATGAAAACAATAACAGCAGAAAAAAAAAAAGAATCCCACGCCTCCGCTATACTCGCAAAAATTCCAATCCCATACAGATAAACGGCTTCACATCATATTATTCCACGTTTCCTCCAATGGGTTTCATTGCAGATAAAGAAGAAACGTTTCTGGTATTCCAATATTTAGACTCTATATTTCTCCAAAAGAGGGAAAACACAATTCTGACTCCCAGTCAACAAAGTGAGAACAGTGAAACATTCATCAGTGAATCCTAATTCACAGACTCTTTTACGGAAATATCAAAACAAACGAAGAAACAAAGGGAAAAAAGGCCTATTGATTGGAACGAGGACGGCTAGAGGTCTTTGAATGTTGCTTCTCCAAATGAGGAGATCTACCTAGTGACTTAACTGCTGTTGCTGCTGTCACCGCCGTTGTGGTTTGCACGCCTTCTTTTTTATGAGGGGTTTGTTTTACAACTGGAGACTGCAGCCGGGAGTTGTTACTTTGTTGTCGTCGATGTGGCTCAGGAGATTTGGCCCCTGGTGCGATTACCTCGTTGTTTGGACGATTCAAACGCTTGGGATTACCGTCCAGTGTTTTATTATTATTACTACTACTACTACTATTACTAATAACACCATGACCAGGTGGACGTTTAACATGAGAAGAATCAGGGGTTACTTTTTTCCGAAGTACAGGTGAGTTTCCTGCTCCTCCCTTTCCTGTCACCTTATCTGAAGCAAGAGTTCCACGTTTCGAGACTGGAGGGAAAGTATATGTAGGGGAAATGACGGGTCGTGGCGTTACTTTGGGTAAATTCACTACAGGGAGAGCTGCAGGACATTTTTCAGGAGTGTCACTCTCAGAAACATATGTAACAGCTGCACCTCCATCAACAGCAGCAACTGGTATATCATGGATAACATCATGAACGTTATCTTTAAGGTACTGAGAAATATCCTCCACCTTCAAACTTGGTGGTTCTTTTGGATACATTGCTTCTTCATTTGAAATTGGCTCATTGAATGTGGGTTCAACATATTCACCATTGTCACTGAAAGGTGCATGTATTGGCTCTCTTTTTTTCATACTATCATCAGAAGCTTCATTTTCGGAGGGATGTCTTTCCAATTCATTTTCTGTTAAGGTCTCTCTAACATCTTGCATAGGTTCGGATATCTCTTCAGACACAACAAGAAGAGTAGTATCAATTTCCAACGGGTAGTTTTCTCTTGGTTCTTCTTCAAATCGATTCTGATTAGGCAACAATGTTTCCTCTTCGTTATCTCTCGCAGGAGGTATTACGTTGCCTTTATTTAGATTTATCTGCCCATGCAGATGCAACACATTTATATCAACTGTATGACCTTCTTCTTCACCAACTTCGCGTGCACAATTGGAAAGATATTCATAATTCCACAAACTTACAGGAGGGCCATACGATACTCCAGAAGGGCTACGGGAATCGTAAGTAGAAAATTTAGTTCCTGATTCTGACGATGTGTGACGCCACCTTTTGCCACTGTCACCAATCAATATGTTTAAGTTAGAGGAAGAAGCCATTTCAGCAGCAAGATGCTGAGCAGCAAGAGACTCTTCATTCCACCTTATATCAATCACTTCTAGAGATTTGACATGTCCTACCGACTTTTCTTTACTCTGTTCAATAAGCTCAATCATACATTTGCGCAATCCAACGAGGGACATATTGTTGTGTGATAGATTTATATGACGAAGCGAGCTGCAAAAAGCGAACTGCATCGGATCAGGAGGAGGCAAAACGATATCAGTATTCTCCTCACCAGCAGGGATAGAAAAAGTACTATTATTATTATTATTATTATTATTATTATTATTATTATTGGTTGTTGTTGTTGTTGTTGTTGTAGCAGTAGAAACATTAGGTGGGGGGCAAACAATTATACGATTCCCACCGCTTACTAGCCCTTTCGCTGTTGGTGAATCTTGCAGACTCCTTGAACGGATTGAGAAAGTTGAGTGCTGTCCGCACAAGCGTGATACCGCCGAGTGATGATGTATTGCACGTCCCATGTGATCTGTAATGTCCCGAACAATCCACGGACCACTCACATCATCCAATAATCCATGCTGAAGATCCACAAGAAAAAGTTCATGTCGTAACTGAGAATTCCCTTTACTCGGTGTGTTAGGACGTGTTCTGACGAGATCGCTCGGCATCTCCGTATCATTAAAGGTATTTATACCCTTATCCATCATACTTGCAATAGCAGGGTCCTTAAGAAGGAGGACAAGTTTAGAAAAAAAGATAGAAAGACTCTGTGTAAACACATGACGCTGTTCCGCCGAATACAAACGTTGTCCTATACACACAGATGGGTCTACGACCAATCCAATCCTTCCTGCGCACTGTGTGCAGCGCATCTCTTCATGTAGGAAGAAGAAAGAATTTGAATCTCGGAAATCAAGCATAGTGAGGGTTTCTGGGGTGCATTCAGCTACCAAAAGTCGAAGTGGTGCTGCAGCAACCGTTGGAGACAATGCAGCACTATCAGATAACGCCATAAGAGTTTGTGGATTAAAGTTATTCCCCTCCACAAGTCTTAACTCGGTATATGTGGATGAAAATTCACAACATCTTTTTCCTTTATTGTATGAATGCGGTTGCTGAACCTGTGAAGGATCAGGCATTGGAACACAAGCCCGCAAAACAAGGGAAAGATCGTTTCCCATAGTTAAATACTCCTGAAAAAAACAAGAAAGAAATAACTATCTACCAATAATATCCAATGATTTTTCTTTTCTTTTTATAAATATTCTATTCTTTCTTTTTTTTTTTTCCTTTGTTGTTTGCTTATTCCCTCAAAAAATCTTTTTTACTTTCCTTTATGACCACCTCTTGACTATGTATTTGTACTTAAAACGGGTATGGTGTACTACCTTTGGTATCCAGAGATTCCCAGAGGAGAGAAGATTAAAGGGCAGTTCGTTCATTTCCCAAATACATACAGATACAAATACATACATATATATATACATACATATACATCTTTTTCTTTCTTTCTCATACCTCTTATCCTCACTCAAAGAAAAGAAAGGAAATTCTTCACTCTACCAAATGTATAGGGTACTTGTTTTCCAACAACAACTGTGTGTACATTGAACCTCTCTTCTTCATGACTCAAAACAAGCAAACGGAATAATAATAACAATAATAATAAGAGAAACCAAAAAACAAAAACAAAAACACATACATACATACATATACAGACACTAGAGAGCGTATTTGCGTTCCGTGAAGTACGTATGGCGGCCAAACCGCGAGCGTCCTTCAACTGGTTCCACTGGCGTCTTTCCATGTACCGTCATGGTGCAACCTGTCTCAGGATTGCCTGTGTATAGTGTAATAGGCTCATCTGAGAGGTAATCATTACGCAGTTCATCAATAACAGGAAGTTCTTCCTCACGGCAATGCGACTTGTGGTATGTACTGAGATAAACATTATCACCATCTGTTGACACACTCGCACGGAGTTGTTGTTGCTGCAGCTGTGTATCTTGGAGTTCCTTCTCTGTACGTGCTGCGTCAATTGCCACTTCAAGAAGAACACGACTACGTACACCCATATCAGGACGCCTCAGACGTTTTACGTCAGCGTTTTCCTCACAGAAGTCATGACGTTGTGTTGTCTCTAGAAGTCGAAGATGTGGATTACGTGCATCTGCGGTGAGATAGGGAGTTGATTGATAACCTCCAGTGTAGCGACCACGGGTATCCTCGCGTATCACATCGAGACTTGCCTGCAGTACCGCCGTGGTGGTGAAGGTGTCCGCCTGCACGGTGCCGGGCATCAGGGACGGCTGTGTGAGGAGATCATCCTCGAGCGCCTTTTCCTCCTGCCAGTTTCCGCAGAGAACTTTACGGGCGTGATGGGCACCATCATCGTGGCGAGCTCTATTATACCGTTTCTCCTCAATCCACGTTCCACCGGGGCTGCACGTGTCAATAGGAACGTACGGCTTGCGGCTGCGACCCAAAGATGCCATATTATACACTTTTTCTTATTCTTTTAACCTCTAGATTTTCTCTTCTTGTTTTTTTTTTTCTATCTTCACCACTTTGTTCAGTAGAAATGACGAGCAAAAAAAAAGAAAGAAAAAGGGAAGTGAGGGGAAAACAAGTGGTGCGCCCCAGAAAAAATCAGAAGCATGTTTTTTTTATTTTTGTCCTCTTTTCTTCAAACAAACACACACACACACGCACTTTATCGTATTTTGACTTTTTTTTTTTAGTTATCAAGATTCATTTACTAAAAAAAAAAAAAAAGAAGAAACAAAGGAAAAGGGAATAGTTTAAAACTTTTTTTTTTCTTTTTTTTGCTCTTGTTCACCTTTTTTTTTTTCCCTTCTTAAAGAAAAAGAAAATCATCTCCTATTTTCTTCACTTTGTATTCCGCTTCGACTCTGTTTTTTTTTTTTTTTCTTTTTTACTTTCCCTTTTCTTTTTTTTTTCCTGGTCGCACATGGGAAGGAGTTCACAGGTCCAATCCCTTCGCTCCCAAACTCACTATTCCTGTACTCTGCCTGCATGCTTCTCATTTGCTCTCTCTCTCTCTCTCTCTCTCTCTCTCTTTTTTTTCTCTTTATTTCTCTTAAACGTAATAAAAACAAGAGCAGTCATCATACACAGATAAAAAAGAAAAAAGAAAATTTGGGAGGGGAAAAATAAAAAACGGATTTAGGAGAAAGGGCATACACGACCAATAATGTACTGCAATTCATCACTAAATCGTCGTTTGCGCTATCCCAACCATAATCCCACCTTTCCCAGATATTTTTTTTCTTCAATTTGTGTGTGTGATGAACAGCGAGGGTTATTGGCTGTTGTGTGCTGTTGCTCATCGCACCCACTTTGGCAGTCGTTTGTACGGGTTGGCGGCTTTCTTCTCTTTCAGTTTGCGACCATCCGCGGCTGCTGCTTCGCGTCGTGCCTGCAGGCGTTTGTTCACAACGCCACTGCCGTCTGCCTTTGCGGCAATACGACCTTCCTCGAGTTGTTGTGCCTTTGCGGCGAGCATGCGTTCGCGCCGTTCGCTTCCCTGCACGACGCCGTTCACCATCTTGTAGTAGCGCGCGGCCTTCTTGCGTGCGACCTGCAGTTGCATCTTCCGCGTGGCGGCCTCCTGCCGTCGCACCTCCGTGAGTTTGCGCTTCAGCCGCTGTTCCTCCGGTTGTGCCTGACGGCGGGCTTCGCGGGCCTTCAACTGCGCCTGTCGCCGGCGGGCCACCACCTCGTCTGTTGGGGCGTTCATCATATTCATCTCCCGCTGCTTCTTCACCTTCAGCGCCGACAGCTTGCTGCGCTGCACATTCTCCGTTACTTCTTCCTCCTCCCACTTGGGGCGACGGCGGGCCTCCGCGAGTTCATCACCAGAGAGCGACACATCATCGTCCGCATCCATCTCTGGTAGTGCCACGTGCTCGTCATCACTTGCCTCATTTTGTAAGAGTAGTTCTGCCGCCTTTCCTTCAGGATCCACAGGTGTATATTGGGGATTAATAAGAGAACGGATCTCATGTACGCGTTTGGGCACATAGGAAACTATCTTGGGGTGATTCTTCTTCGCCTCTTCCACCGCAGCAATGTCCTCTGGATTGTTTGTAATGGCCACTGTGAAGGGTGAAACGTGTGGTGGAAGTTCCTCACCAAGGCGGTATCCATTAGGTGGAAGCAGCATACGGGCATTAAGACAATCAAAGAGGTATTGCGGTTGCACATACTCAATTCGATCAACACGATCAAATCCAGGCGGTAATGCAGGACGGTCCACTACAAAATGTGTGATGTTTTCTGGTGCATAAGCTGTGGCAACTCGACCACCGCATGCTTCAATTACGAGAGCCGCATGTTTAAAAGGGACTTCACGTGATACAAAAAATGTCAAACCTTCAAAAATACAACGAACTTTTCGCAATTCTTCTTGCATAAGTTCGGCTTTGCTATAGGCATCCTTCTTGGCACCACTAGACTCCTGCACAGTTTCTTTACCAGCTGTTCCGAAATCTTCTGCATTTGCGTTAATTTCATCATCCTCAGCTTTCTGTTCTTCAATCATATCACGTTCAAGATCGTGCTCTAGCTTAAACAGGATAAAGCGCATAAGTTCAATATAGAATTCAAGAAAACTGAGGGTAATGTATTGTTGAATTCCAGATGGAAACTTGTGTGCATACTCATGTGGACATAACCAGCGAACACGTTCTCCACGTACAATAGCTTCATAGTAGTATCCCTTAATAGAGATGAATCCCTTTGAGAGTACACGGGCCCGTGCCACATAATGCGACCACCGTTCACAGACTTCCTGGGCGCGTTGATGCAAACCCGTTGTGAGAGCGTGGTGTGTCTCAATGGTAGACTCACTCGCTACCTCTGGTCCGAGAAAGGAGTAGAGGGCGATCATGGACATGGCGTCATCAATATCCCGAACTGCATCGAGAAAGAATGGGTAGCGTTCCTTAATGGTTGCCACCAGACTGTAACGTGGCTTCACCTTACTGCTGCGGAGTGTCTTGAGGTCCTCTACGAGTCCCATTGCCTCAGCGCGGCGAACTTTCTTTTCCCACGCGCGGTGTGCCATCATACGCTCAGCGATGTGATCCCGCACCAACCATTTTATCTCGCGTGCGAGGTAGTACTGTTTATCATTTCCGCTCTGCTTCTGTTTACTGCGGGCGAGGGCGCGGGGGTAAATACCCTTAAGGATGCAGAGACGACGGAACTGAATAGAGTCCACCTGCAACATGCGTGTTGCCTGCATACGCGTGACGAACTTCTTGCGGAGGCGCTCCTTCTTCACGCGCTTTGCCCATACTTGCTTGCGGTGCATAGTGATTTTTGTTTTTACTTCCTCACCGCGGCTCCTAGCAGGATTTAACAAAAGTGTAAAAAAAAAAAAATAAATAATAATAATAATAATAATAATAATAATAATAATAATAATAATAATAATAATAATAATAATAATAATAAATGCATTAAAAGAGTTAATATAGATCAATACAAAACAATTCACTTTCATTCTTCTTTTTTTTTTTTTCTTCATCTAATGTATCTGAACTTGTGCACATGTATGTTGCACTTTCCTTCTTTCATCTCAGATTCATAAGATTGAATAAAAAGAGAAAATCAATGAATCAAATACAGTGATGCTTCCCCGTTCTGCTACTGCAGCTGAGGCCCCTAGCAACTTTGACTATTTTCTCCTTCTCTCTCTCTTTCTCTGAGTACCATCACCATCATCATGGGAGTTTTTTTTTTTATCCCGTCTTTCTTTCACTTTCATTCACCACATTCTCCTCCACTTTCATCTCTTCCTCTTCCATCTCCACTTCCATCTCTTCTGTCTGTTGCTCTTTAGTTTCACGCATACATTGCCTTGGATCATCTTCTGTATCACGTGTTTTTTCCATCCGCCATTGCTCTCGTTGTAATTCCTCAAGTGCGGCACTTTCAATACGCATACGACGTTCATGCTCACATCCTGGATAAATACCATCTTCAAACTTACGATCAAGGAGCTGTGCGTCCTCTACATTATCTGTAACAAAAGTATAGGGTGGAGTAAAGGTGGTATACAAGTATGTACTTCGAGCTTCCAGTGATGGATAGTCATCTGACCAATCACTCATTGTACTAAATCCCTCTAATGGCACTACATGGTTTGTATCAGGTATACGTCGGGTGAAAAGAATACCATTAAGATGATCGAATTCATGAAGAGCCATTCGTGCCCGCATTTTATCAAGCATAACTTCAAACGGACGCCCATCAGCATCAATAGCCCGCACTCGTACGGTTATTGGTCGTTCAATATAATGCATTAGAAAACAACAACTAGCACATGGTTCCCATGCAAAACATGTTTTTCCTTCACGTCGAAGTTTCGCTAACCATTGTGCCTCTGCTTCTATAAAGGAGACCCCACTCTTTTTCGCCGCTTCTTCAACCTCCAAAGCATCGAGATTAATAGGATTGATAAAGACTGTACCATCAAAGAGGGTGAACATCTGCACATTCCACCCAATTTGTGGAGCACAGAGAGATGGGTATTGATAGTAATGCCGTGCTGCATGTACGCGTTTGATCATATCCGCAAAGTCACCACGGCGAACGTGTTCGGGTGGTAGTGAGTACTGTTTACACCACAGTGATCGGGCAGGGAGTTGCACAATAGGGTGCTCAACGTACACACTACTCCCTGGTGTGTAGGCGCTATTGGAATCTTTCCCCTGTGCTTGATCGTAACTACCTGTCGTGCTGGATGAGTTCATCCGCACAGCACCGCCAAACACGGCAAGTCTAACACTACGCCGACGAATAAAGCAATTTCGCCGAAATGCGCTGCATGTTCGAGTCAACATACAAAGAAGAGTACCACCTAATAATAAGCAAAAAATAAAAAAAATAAAAATAACAACAACCAGAAAAGATTAATAATATATACATGTATAGTTTGTAAGTGCAGCAACAACAAGAAAAAAAAAAATGATATGAGACACACCTGTTTGGATTGAACAATGTATTTTTTTTGTTTTTTTTTTCCTTTCTTGCCATATCATTTCTCTCATAGAGTAATGATGACGCCCTGTGCGTACAGATAGATGCATGTACATACATACAACACACTGAAAAAAAAGATACATACAAATACACAGACCCAACGAATCTGTAGTGGCGCTAGGCGTAGTGAAGAAAAGGGAGAAATGTTAACTTGAATTGGTACAGAAAAGTACAGTTTTTGTCCCATCCTCTCTCTCTCAGAAGAGAAAAAGAACAGAATGAGACGAGACAAGAGTATTTGAGCAATCGTAAGAAAGACAAGTGGATTAGATGGTATCTGAATGTTTCTGAGTCGAGAGAATTAAAAAATAAAGAAGCTAAAAGTATCATTCAGAGTTGGTGGATAACAAGTACCGAGACAACAAACACGCTTGTAGTGACTCAGACGATATGTAACTTGTCTAAATTTTCCACTAGTTTTTTTTTTTTTTTCTTCTTTACACTTACTTTTAATCATTCTCCATTCTTCTCTTCCCATTCTTCGTCCTTTTATTCTTTCGTTTTTCGTTTTTTTTTTTTTTCCGTTCTTTTTTTTTTTTTTTTTTTTACTATTCAAACTTTCATTACTCCCTTTCGCAACAAAAAATATGATGCGCTGTACCATTGCGTTACAGAAAACGTAAAAAAAAAAAATGTTCTCCAGTACACATACATGTAAAGTAAACCCTCATATGTTTACATTCTTATTATGTCTAACTTCTCGTTTACGCCCAAGTCAATATATTATGCATTTGAGGTGATCTTAACTGCGTGCTTTGTTTAACTACACGTGGTGATTTAAGAGGTCGTTCATCACCAAAAACAATGTGAGAAGCCGTGATGGAATGACCTGGTACACGAGCACGTCCTGTTCGTATGCGGGGCGAGACCAACAAATCTTCACTTTGCCGATGATTCCTTAACTTCTGATGATGTCGTTCTTCTTCTTCCCACATAGCCGATGTTGTATATGAGCCGGTTTCATAAGAAGAACTTACATAAGACTCTGTACCATCATTTCTTCTGTGACTACCCCTACCACTATCACTTCTTCGTGATGAATGAGAATGAGGTCGTTTAGTGTTTTTCACAGATGGTGAAGAAGTAACACTGCCACAAGAAGAAGAATTGTGTCGGCTGCTGTGGTGACTTGAACCGTGATGTCTTCGTGTACGATTAACCCTTGACTCTTCTTCTTCACCAAATGGAGCGTTACTCCTTCGCTCCATAGAACATTCACTTCTTGTTTGACTTCTCGTTTCACTTCTTGTTTCACTTCGCCGGCTCGAAGTCTGTGACCTCGTGCTTCGTGGTTTCGAACTCCGTGGTCTCATAGTTCTATCTTCCTCTTCATGACCATATGGATCATTAGAAGGAACAGATGCAGATCGAGATCTTCGCATCATATGCTCACGTCGTCCTCGAACCCCCAAAATATCGTTATCTCCTCCTGCTGAGTGAGTTCGCATAGCATTTGTGAATCGAGCTGATTGCTTCCTGGGAGGCAAGGTTAGTTTTGGTTGTGTTGCTTCAAATGCCTGCACTGCTTTCATTGTACGTACCCCATGTCGAGGTGCAATTTCTCCGCTCAATGGCTCCCGTGCAAGAAGATCTCTCCCCAATTGGTCAGATGGGTGATTGGGCACCAGGCGTGTACCTCTTCGTGGGGAGATAAACCGCGGGTCGTTAATATTTTCTCCAACTCCATTGCTATCATTTCCACCGAAAAGCCAGAGAGCAGATCCACTCGCATTACAATGGCGGTGACTGCGCCCCCTTGCTGGGGACTTTGTTTGGTCCTCTGCGTTAAGCAAGAAGCGCGCTATAGTGCCAAGTCCATCCTTCTTCTTATCAGACGTTGGCTTTTTCTGCGGTGTCGGTGGTGGAGGAGGATCAAAGATGTGACTTTGGTTCATCTGCTTCCATTTTCCAGGTGTGATGTGTTTTGAAATGGGAACTAGCTCAGGATCCACGCGGTGTTGCGTTTCGTACAGAAAACGTAAATCATCCTTCTGTTTGAGATCCAGTCGATACATATCCGGTCGAATATCTGTCAAGGATCCCTTTTTACGCAGTAAATGTAACAGTTCATCATGGGAGACAGCCTTTCCTCGCTCCTGTGAATAATCTCTACGGCTACGTGAATTCTCTTGTCGTCCGTTAGAATTTCGGAGAGGCGTAGCTTTCATCTGTTCAGAAACGGGGCTTTTCGTGAAGGCTCTGGAGCTGCCGCTCCCGGAGCGTCGAGGATGATATTTATCCCCCATGCTGCCGTCGCTGCCACTTCTGCTGTGATGACGTCCACTTGTAGGCACAGCATCACGGCCACGCTCTTTATCGTTCAAACCTCCAGAATTACTCCTTCTCTGTGCCTGACGTTCCCCCGAGTCGTTTCCACCACTGCGTGAACGGGGAGAAGCTCGCCTCGATGAGTGTAGTTGCGGTTCTGCCAGCCCACGGCCAGATCCACCCGAGCTTCTTCGAGATTTGTCAGACATTATAAGTTACACAACTCTTCTTTTTTTTTTGTTTTGTTAAGCGAGAAAAAAAAAAAAAAACGCCAAAAGATTTATATGGTTATGTAGAATAAGGGAAACAATAGTAACAATAATAATAATAGTAATAACCAAAAGAATTTTCTTGTTTTTTTTTGTTCCCTTCTGTAGGATTTGTAAGCGTGCCTTATTATGGATAGGTGTGCTTCTCTCTTTACACGAACCTTTAAAGAGAAATGATGAAACGAAGAACGACACACATACACAATTTATCCATGTTGATGCACGAAAGTGTCAAATAAATGAGAGGAGTGACATTTTTTTTTTTTTTTCGTTTCTTTCTTCTTGCACTACCAAAAACAGCATTTCCAGAGAAAGAAAAAAAAAAAAAAGTAGAAGCATATACAGAAAAACACCCATCTCACAGTGAGTTTCGACGTCTTGGCTTTTTGATCGAATTGTTCGATTCAACCGGAGGTCCCTTTAAACCTGTTTCCACACCGACGAACTGTAGCTGCCGGTTCGAACGTGAGGAGTGTTTCGCCGCACTAGAAGAATTCAAGGTTCCATCGCTAGCACGACAGACCGATCCACCCGTCAATCCACAGTGTGCGACATAACAAGAGTGATGTGGGTTATTTGCGTCATCATCGCCGTCCCACAGTGATGCGGGTGCGGGAAGCGGTGTGCATCGCCGTGTTGTCGCACGGCTCGCAGCTGACATTTCGCTTACGGATCCCGTTGTGGTGGTGGCCGGGTGCGTGAAGGTTGTGTTGGTGTTGATAGTAGTGGTGTGTGTATTGGCTGTTGGGACATCCCACGCATCGGAGGGAATTCCCGTGATGGTCTCGGCGGCGGCCCGCAGTGAAAGAAACCGCACATCAACAGCGGCCGGCCGGTCCACCGGCACTGCGAGCATCGCGTGATTACGGCCACCCAACGGTACTGCAGGGGTTATGCTCGGCACATCCACATACGCCACACCCGCCTCGCTACTATTGTTGTTGTTGTTGTTCGTACTATTATTATTATTATTGTTGCCACTACTCTTGTTGCTTTGACGGGTGGGCGTGACAATCACGGTGTGGAGCGGTGATGTAGTGGCGGCAGAGTTCCCATTGCTGCCGTGGGACGGGGCGGAGGTCTCGGCATCCCGCAATAGTGATGGGAACTTCAGGCGGACACCCACGTTGAGGCGCTTTGGTTTCCCCGACGCATCATACCAACGGCCCTTCCAAAGCCACGGCGGGATTTGTGTTGGGACGAGAATGGGACCACTGTAATCAGCAATAAATGCCACCTCATCCTGCACAGTCCTTGCAAACCGCTGGTACTCCAAGTGACTGGAGTTCACATCCCACTGCTGAAGTTTACGTAATCCCATAATGGCCAGACCAACAACTTGGCGACCGTCAAGGCAGTGAATATATATTGGATGTTTTTCTACGTTAATTAGTATTTGAAGAAGTTCGTTCATATCTGTTGGTAATAACTGTGCCTCACCCTTGTATCGCTCAACTCGAATATGACGCAAGGTTATACCCTCTGCATTGGCAAAAGAACTCAGGTCGTATGTTGGTTCTTCTGGTGTCAGTGACACAATGGTACGCAATTTCAGATCATGTAGAAAAGGAAAGTTTCGCAGAGTAGGGTAAGCACCCCGATAGACTCCTTCTTCCACAACGGCAAACCGAAATGGTGGCACAACATCTAGGAGGGCGGGATTAATCAATAAAGTGTCTCCATCTGTAATGGGATTGTCCTTTGTCGTATCTGCACTAGTAGTATTGTTATTATTAGTAGTAGTTGTCGTACTGGTAGTAGGAGTAGTGGTAGTGGTAGTGGTAGTGGTAGTAGTAGTCACACGATCTTTTTTTGCTGACGGCGTCAAATTAACCATACCTTGATTTGCACCTCACGACACGCGTATGCGTGCCTTCTCACTGTTGTTGCCTGCAGCAAATACAGAGAGAAGATTCCTTACAAAAAAAAA